TTTAATAACTATTAATATTTAACTTAAAATATAAAAAAAATTAAAAATTTATTACTATTTAACTTAAATTTTTTTAATTTAAAATATTAATATTTAAATTAAAAAAAATATTTTTTAATAAAACTATTCAATGTAATCACTTTTTTATTTATAAATTGAATAAATATTATTAATAATTATAATAAAAAATATTTCAATGGAAGCAAACTTTTTACCAGTTTCCCAATCCTTCCACTGATACATTATTTGAACTGAACATTTTGCAAACCCAAATTAAACAAAACAAACTATTTGGACTGCTATATAAAGTTTTTTTTTAAAGAATTATCATTCAAATGAGAAAGTTTTGCCAGAGACAGCAAACCAGAAGAAAAGCAGAGGAAATAATATAAGCAGAATAGAAATTGTTTTCCATTACAAGAACTTATGTTTCACATACATCACCAAAGGTTTTTCTTAACATAAACGATGCATAATAATCTACGAAAGTTGTTGTCGAGAATAAAGGCAGTTGTTGCAGACTGTAAGGCTTCCCTAGCATGGCTTGGGGTTGGGGATGGGGATGGGGATGATCCAGCAAGGTGGTGGCAGAATCTGCTCTGAAAAGTACGTATAACTTGGTCGGAAAGTTCCATCTCTGATTCTGGCTGGCATAATCTGCTCTGAAGAGTAGTCATTAACTGGCTTGGCAATTCCATCTTTGAAGTTGTGTACGCCCACATCGTGACCTCTCACACAAATTATTTTCCTCCATTCTTCGCCAGCAATCATCAATGTAATAAATCGAGTTCCCTTCACAGTTGGGAAAAGATTGAGTTGACTCTGAAACAGATTGATTTCCCCCCAAAGATTCCATCTCCACCCATTTTAGCTCGTTGAAATCTAACTTATGAACATGAAATAAAAATGTTCCATATGAACAAACTGCATTTAAAAAATGTCAGTGAACAAGTTCCTCATCCGCATCAACAAACTCATCCATGAACCTGACAACAAGCGGGATATCCCTACACGATTTAACCAAGTATAACTTGATATTACAAATATTTCCAAAGGAATTTGATTCGGCGAGTGACTTCTCAGGAAGAATTAGAACGATATTCATTCTTTTTGACATAAATTCGCCTTCACAATTCCATGTTTCAATATTATTCCCCTCACTCAATGCAAAGAGTTATTTTCATGGCATATAATGTCTTGGTATGGTGCATGCCTGGTGTCAAGTACCTCAGTCCAACAATTATCTCCACTATCATGATATGCAATTCTTTCCATCCTTGCACAGCAAGATCACCCTGTACTTTTTATTGTTGCAATCTGGTTCCCCTGTCAGGATGGCTTTCCTTATGAAACAATCTCGTCGTTTTTGCTTTCCATAGCGGAACCATAAACCCATTAAAAATAGGAGGCACAAGTAATAGATTGGTCATTGCTGTATACTAAATTTAGTGAACAATAAGACTTGGGCAATATCGCCCAAGGCCAACCTTTGAAAGTGAAACAACATCTGTTTACACTTTATAGGGAGAGGACTGTGGATTTTATCAAATTTCAGAATAAAGTAATCATGAGATAGGATAGGGGTCTCATTACATTTCCCTGAAACATCTTAGAACCCCCATTTGTAGGTAGGAATAGCTACTAAAATTCTTCCATGAAAATGGGTAGAGATGACTACTAACAGAGTTTGAACCCTACGGTGGCATCAGTAACGGAAGCAAACTTTTACCAGTTTCCCAATCGTTCCACGGATAAATTATTTGAAGATTTTGCAAAGCTAAATTAAACAAAACA